AGAAAGAAGCTTTCTGGGCAATTTCTAAGACCTTTGGTGTATGTTTGAAGGAAATATTCTATGAATCATATTCTCTGTGGAAGGTGTCCCTGACCAGGGCAGCAGATTGGAGCTGGAGGATTTTTTAAGTCCTCTCCAGCCCAAATAGTTCTGTGATTTTGTGAAAGAACAAGAATAGTCTGTAGTGACACTGGTGGAGATCAAGCATTTCTTCCAGAAATTCTGTAACAAAGAAAGGGCTCAGTTCTGCCCCAGGGTGGGTCCAGTGAATCTTTGATTATTTTCTGCTTGATGAAATATGTTCTCCAGAGCTCAGTCTGCCTGTCCTGGAGCAGAGTGCAAACTTGTGTGGAGCTTTCTGGTACAGCTGGGAATTAAACCTAAATCCCCATCTCCAGGCTGAGCTCTGTTATCTCCTGCTGTGCCTGTTTTTCAAGAAAAAGAGACCACAGCCTCTTTTTTGAAGGAAATGTATAGTTCTTACAAGCTGGCCATGGGATAACATGGGTCAGCCTACTCTGTGACTTGTTTTTCATCCTGATCTTTGGATCTGAACCTCACTATGGACGACTCCCCTTGCCTAACTTGGGTCTTTCAGATTCACTGTGGCATTCTTGCTCCTAAGTAAGTTTGTGGAGTTGTTTGTATTTTGGATTTATTAATTTTTAATGTAGACCTTGCTGCTGTCTTCGAAAAGAACTGCAGAAAACTAACTGGGAAATAAGAACCAAATATTTCCCTGAATTTGATCCTAAATCTATTAGTGTTTTGCACATTAGACAGGCAGCTCACTGTATTTTGGTGTCATATTTGTTATTATGGATTAGATCAATTGTCTGGCTACAGGAGCAAACCCTCCCCTTGTAATGCACTTAGTCAGTTGTGAAATCATGTACTCAGTGGTGGGAAAAAAGGAAAAACCTCCATAGCCCCTCCAAGCAATCAATTTATGCCCTGAAGCATGAGATTTGATTACCATTGTTATTATCTTAGCTTGCATAGTTACAAATGTTATTAGCAGTCATAAAATTATCCAGCCTTAAAAAAATTAGATTAAGAAAAAGAATCCCAGCATTTCACTCCAGGTTCTTCAGAGCCTGAATTCCTGGGATTGCTTCGAACTGCGAAAAGTGGTAGTTCCTTTAATTCATTTGAGATTTGCTGCCCTTTGATCACGTGGATTTCTCCTGTATCCTCATTAGGAAGGGACAGACGAGCATTTTCTGGCACTTTTGTAGTTTCTCTCTGGTCAAGACCCATCTAACTTTCACCATTTCAAAGCTAAGTGTTGATGAGGTGTGCTCAGATCCATGTTTAATAAGCCATTAGTGGGACATGCATCACCCTCTCTCTCATCTCTGTTTTTCCCTTTGTGGTTCCTGTGAACTCAAAATTTCTAATGCAGCTTTGTGCTTCTCAAGCTACATCTCAGCTGGTATAATTTAAATATTCTAAAAATTCCATAGTTAATGAAAATACTGTAAAATGTTGCAGCAGGGTATCATCTAAACCCCAAATTTTGACATGGAAAAATTACCAGTTGGCATAAAGGCAATTATTTTAGCCATTTAATTTGTCCAGGACCAAAACAGATTCCCAGAAGCTTATCCTATTTTTAAGAAAAAAATCCATATCAAATTGTGGTCCTTGATATTCAAATACATTCCTATTTTTGCATATTCCACCTATTCAGAAAATTGCAGCATCTTTATTACCGAGAGGTGGTGGTGGGAGACGTGCTGGCAATCACCAGCAAATTAATTTTCTCTGAAGAAAATCTGGCCAATCTGTTCTTTTGTCCTGAGTATTTCATGTATCTTAAATGGCATTTAGAGTACAATTGGGAATCTTCTGAGCCTGCCATCAGACTCTGGAACTGGGTTTAAAATGGTAGGTGTGTCTTGAGGGAGGATATGAATCAGGTAACAAGTTACAGTTTGATCAGCACAAAACACACCCTCTATTCCTTCTGATTTCTTCAGAAAACTCCTGAGATAAATATTCTGAGGGTTTTTCCTTGCACTTGATTTGAGACAATATTATGCATTTAGCATGTATTTTAAATATGTAATCAGTACAAGCCTAGAGAGATTTAATTAATTTTTCCAGTGTTTCTCGCAGTGTTGTTCTCTCCTTCTCACATTAAGTAGTGGGTTTGATGAAAAGGCTCCTTGATTTTCAGCAGGAAATCCCAAAATAAAGAGCAGTTTTGTGGAGACACAGAGAGGACCTAACTGAACTTCTCTGTCTCTATTTTTGTTCTATGCAGCCTGAAATGCTGCAACATTTGTCCTATTTCATCACCCGGTGAAATCTGAAGCACAGTGGATTATATCTATTTACCCTTTACTTAAGGCAAACCCTTTTCTCAAATAGATGTGGTTAGGGCCATGTTTTGTTATGAACATATTTTATTTTGGAAGTGTGGAGCAGCTTTTGGTGAGCTGAGGTACTTTGACTTCTCCATTAGCTGGTTTCCTAGCGGAAGGAAAACTTTCTTCCTGATTCTGTGTGAAAAACTCAAACCATGTTATGGTTTCCATATTATGGGCTGAAACCTGAAAAAGTGAGGAGGCCCTGGGGAAAATCATGTTGGCAGAGAGGATCTAAAAGTTGGGCCAGCAGGGAAATGAAAGTCTAAGTGGTGGCTGCATTTTGCAAGCCCAGCTTCCCTCCATGGTGTCTGGGATGGGCATGGGGACATGTAGGGATGGGCAGCCTGGGAAGTTGGCTTTGGCAGCAGTCCTGCCTCGAGCAGTCACTGGAGGTGAATAAATTCTTGTCCCTCTTCTTTATGTCAGAGATCAACCTGGAAACTCCTGGTCCTGCTGAGGCATCCGGGATGGTGTTGGCCAGGAGTGGGGAAGAGTCATCGTCCCCATTTTTCATCCTCTTGGCAGTGGCAGGAGGGGCAATGCCAGCTCTCCCCGGCTTTTCCCAGCTCTGTTAGCTCAGCTCCCAGACAAGCAGCTTCCCACCCTTGGTGTCTTCAGCTGTTGCCAACGCTCCAATGAATCTCCAGTCCCCTCTGGGTTTGAGTGGATCTCTGATGGTCTGTTGGTGCCCGGTCAAATGGCTTTTCAGCACCTCTGCAGCCCTGACATGTTTGAGACATTCCTCTCCAGCTGATTCCCTGTCCATTACTTCCTGAGATTTCCCCTGCACGGGGGCACAGGGCTGTTGCTTAGCTCTTGGTTGCTTTGGGAAGCAATGTGCTGTAAATGTAGCCTTTTACTGTCTCTGCACGAAACAGTAAGTCAATTCAGGATTTGGCCGTGAGGGCAGGATTCAAAAGGAGAACTCCCATTCCCTCTGTGTGCTCTGGGCTGGGTCTGCACCGCACAGAAATCCGGCTGCTCAACTTCAGAGCTTTCTCAGCAACCACAGCACGCTTTCCATGTTTTGCTCCACGCATTTGGGGAGAAGTTTGGCATTTATATTGGATCAAATTCACTTAAACACAGATTAATATGAAAATTATATCTGTGACTTGCCTTTCTTTGCATGACTGCAAACATACCATTGTTTTAACAGTTTTGCATTTACTTTCTGTAAATATATATTAAATTATTCTGCTCTTTACCCTTCCAGTTTTCAGATTTTTTTTTTCTTTTACTACCATCTTTATCATACCTTTCCTTAAATTTATTTATTTACTTCCTGGCCAAATAGTAAGCTCACCTGCTTAAATCTGCTAGAGATAAACATCAGTTGGCCAGCACATCAACAAATTCTGACTGCCACTGTCCAAAAGATGTTTAACCCAAATGCTGATAATCTCCGTGAGTGTGGCTGTGATTCGGTAGGGTGGGTTTATGGTTTAATGTCCGTGAATGTTACTTTGTGATTATTGCTCATTGAATTAGGCAAAGCTCAGAGAAAAGCAAAACAACCAAAGGTCATCAGCGAGACAGAATCGTCTGAGAAGTCCAAGGCCTCATGAAAATGATTATGTCTGACCTTCCCCACCTCTCTGCAAGGAGTGCTTAAGACAATGACTGGCAGATTTGTGACGACTGTCTTCACCAATCACTTAAAAATTTAGCCCATTCCACCCAGGGATCGCTGTGGTGAACCACACACAGGCACAGCCCGAGCGCTCAGGTGCACACATCAACCTGATCTGGGTTTGTGGTCATGGAGAGCGCACACAGCAAACGTTAGGAGGGGGTGTTAGAGAAAAAAAAAAAAAAAAAGAGGAAAAGATGGATTTTTCAGAGGTGTGGATGCATGAAACACCGGGTGTTGGGATGATTGGTACACGGGAGTTTACAGGGGGAGAGCTGTGGGGCAGGAAAGGCTGGAGTTTTCCGAATTTTCATCCTTTCCTCTGAAAAGCAACGACACTTCTGCACCCCAGGGAGGGCTAAGCCGGGGCGGGGGCCAGTCTCTTCCCTAGCAGCGCCTCTCCCCTCCTTGCCCGGATTTTGGTGACCACCGTGACGAAGCGACAGCATCCGAGGGTCCTGCCGGGGGCAGTGTCCCCCAGCTCGGCCATTCCTTTATCCTCCTCCCCTTGTGGTTCTGGGCTGGCCGGCACTCGGATCGCCCCTCCCGCACCTGCCCGGGGTGCGGGACACCCCCGCGGTCGGGAGGCGGGCAGGGGCTCCCGTTCCTCGCTCCTTCCCTCCGCGATTCCCGGTCCCTCCCGCCATCGCCAGGTGCCTCCCGGAGGAGCGGCGGGCAGAGGCTCCTCGGTGCCGGCTCTGGGATCGGGCAGGTGGGATCCGGAGCGGGGTCGGGGCGGGGGTGGGAGCTGCTCGACCCCCGGGGGAGGCGGCAGCGCTTTGGGGAGCGCGGGGCTCGTTGCCATGGCTCCCTGTAAGCTCCGCCGGAGGAGATAGCGATGCCAGTCACGGAGGGACCCTCTCCCTCCTCGTGGGTGTGGAGCGGGGCTGGGTTTGGGGTGGTTGGTGCTTGCGTTGGGTTTTTTCTCCCCCCCCTCCCTCCCTCCCCTTTTTTTTTTTTTTTTTTTTCGGGGTGGAGCGATTAATTCGGAGCCGCCGGGACGGGGCTGCGGAGCCGCTGCTGCCGCGACCCTCCGCCCGCGCCGGGCTCAAGGTACCGCGGGGGCACTGGGATGGGGGTCCGGGGGTGCCCAGCCAAGGGGCTGCCCTGCAGCCACCTCCCCTCGTCCTGCCCGGCCACAGAAACCCTCTAGAATCATTACTGACATTATTTTAAAACTGGGTTTCCTCCTCCCGGCACCGCACCTGGGCTGCGCCCTGCGGAGCAATGAGGAAGCGGAGCCGGGCTCAGCCCTGGCGAGTGCCCCGGGGGGATCCCGGGGGGTCCCGGGGGGGTCGGTCCTTCCCTTTCTCCTTCCCCACCGGGATGCTCGGGCTCCCCGCGCTCTGAGCGGGTCCTGCGGGCGGAGGAGCCGCTGCCCGGGGAAAGTTTGCGGGTGGTTGCGGGACCCGGGGGGCGATGGAGGGGCCCGGGGGGGCTCTGCTGGGGGACGGCGGATCACTCTCCTCTCGGCTTAGTTGCGTTCAAGTTTGCCAGCCTGGATGTCCTGCCTCTGTGGCAAACACTTGTTTCTTCTCTCCTAGTGATTTTGGAGAGGATTTTGTGTGGTTTTTTCCCCTGCAATACCTAAATAACTGCAAAAGTCCCCAGTTTTGAGTTTTTTTCTTGGGGAAGCGATGTGCCCGTGTTGCTCTGCAGGAGAGCTGTAGGAATCTTTAAACCTCGGTGTTGTGTGTTATTGATTTGTGTTGCACGGTCAGGGCACTGGTGGGCTCAGCTTGGGTTGGGTTTTCAGGATGCAAGAAGGTTCCGTTTTCTAATAGTCACGGTAAAGGTACATAGATTTCTCACCTATCACTTCTACAAATATGATATATTCTACGGTTAGTGATACTTTGCTGCTTATTTTGGGGCAGAAAGGGGCTAAGCTCTGGTATGTTGGATAATGTACAGGTATTCGACCATAACAGATAAAAAATAAGGAAATTCATCCTCAGCACCACATGGGAGTAGTTTTGCTTGCAACATGTTTTGGAAAATTTCACCAGAGAGTTGACAGGTGGTATTTTTGTTTTGTTGGCAAAGGTTCCTTTGGTGTGACTGAGCTCCCCCAAATATCATTCCATAATAATAAATAATAAATATTATGACTTTAGATGCAGCTCTGAGAGGAAGAGAGGGAGGAAAAGAGTCTGCACTTTAAATGAATATGTCAGTTTTTCCCATTTGTGAACACATGGGCAGTGTTGCCTTGTTGGAGCTGTGCATGTCATCCTTTGCCCACTACTTCCCCTGAACCCCTGCTTGGCTTTTCCTGATAGGAACTATTAAAAAGCACAACTGCTGCTGTATTAACACTTTGCTGTTGCTTAAAAATAATACATTTTCTTTGTGTTTCAAAAAAAAAAAATCAAACAAAAAAAAAACCCGCCCACCTCTTCCAAAGGGTAGTTAAAAAATTAATAAATTCTTTTTAGCCAGTTTCTCTGGTCTTCACTTGGGCTGAGCATCTGCTGTTAGTGGAGTGTGGCTTGCAGAGGAACTACAAGACCAGATCATGTGACATTAAAATAGGATGCAAAAGATAAGATACCAAGATTTGCAGAAAGCATTGGAGTTTCTTCAGAAATATTGCCCAATGTATGTGAAATTATAATGAAATATCTTTAGAAAAAACCACCTGTCAGCAATCAAGCAGCTGAAGTTTTCCTGTACACAACACACAGCTTCCAAAACAGTTTGTTTCTAAACTCTTCCTGTTTATCATTGATTCTTATCGAAATAGGAGTGAATTCTGAATATGAGGCTGAAATAAAGAGACTGTGCTTCAGCAATATACACTGAGCACATTTAACTCAGTGTGAGCGAGTGTCATTATTATGGGCATTTAGGATTTGTTACTTCAGCAATTAAACTTAATGAATGGAAACACAACAGTCCACCTCTTTATCCCAAGAAACCTAACAGATAAGCCTTCTTTTAAATGAAAGATAACATTATTCACGACATGGATACGTACCTCAAGGGGCTTGGATTGTAGCCACCTTATTTGCCAATAAAAATGTACTTTATCACTTCTGTTTGGAAGGGAAAATGAAACAAAAAGGTATCTATTCATTACAGAAAATGATGTTGTGGGCAGTTGCTTCTGTGATAAGAAAGGATCCACTCCTTTCCCAGTGGGAGAGGACAGGGACTACTTTAAACACTACTAATTAGTTCAGTTTATCTTGCACGAGTTACAATGCTGTAGTTAGTTAATTATAGCTTTTCCCATTAGCAGTATGTTAAGAATAATGAATTAACATATCACACAGATCAAAAGAACATCTACAAAGTTTATCTTAGAGGAAAGAAAGTGGTATTGTGTGTCAGGAAGTCCCCGTGGCTTTCCCAAGGCACAGATTTTGTTGGAATTCCTGAACTGGCGCTTCAGAGCCTGATGAATGACTTGAATTGATCACAAACAAGTGACACTGGAGCTCGTGGTTGCTTAGCAACCCACCAAGATGCCACAATTTCTTTTGGTATATTTGTCCAGTAAAGTAGAAATTCTGTTTTGTTAAAGATTGTGGGTTCTTTGTGAGCACAAAGCCCACCTTATAACAACCTTAAATCATGTGTAATGAAAATTAATGTCCCAGTACAGAGCCTGGGGAGCAGCGTGGGGATGAGAACAGAGCAGGAATCTTGTAAACCACGTTCTGGTGGTGGTGTGCTCAGGGTTTTACAATAAGTTTCAGTTGTTCTTTCTTGGTTAGGCTTCTGTGCAAAACCCAAAATCATTAGTGGGACACGTAAGTCCTAACAAAGGCAGTCATCTACCAAGTGCTTTTTGAACAGTTCCCCTCATGCTGTCTTGAGCTGTGAGATCCTGCAGTTACACTCCATTATGAAATGCAACATGGAATGTGTTGTTTGATCATTGTCTGAATTACATCAGGATGGTCTGGCCCATCCTATGGCCCCTGTGGCTGGAGACCTCTGCTGAGTTGTCCTCCAGGAAGACGTTGGTTCTTTAACAGATCTGTTCTGTGTAAGGAAATAAAAGATTTAGTACTCGAAGAGCAGAAGGAAGAGCAATGTTATCATGGTTATATACCCAAAGTGCCAACACTGATTTTTACCAGGCTGTGGCACCCTGCAGACAGTTCATGTTCACTGAATTGTACTTCTGTCAGTGAACTCCTTATTGTTGCCCTTGGGTCTGTGTGTGCTGACACCTTAGTTCTGGAGAGAACCTTGGAAGGGAATCTTGCAGTCGTCGCATCCCGCTTACTGGGTGTTTGTTTGCAGGGAGACCTCACAAACTGGATTAATTCTGGCTGAACCTAAGCCAGAATATCTCTGTCAGGAGTTTACTTTGTGCACTTCAGCTGCTAATGGGTTTTTCATCCATGGCCTCCTGAGTGGAGCTGAAGCAGAGCCGTTGCTCTGCTCTTGGATCTGGGGTTCCCAGCACTGTTTTACTCTACTTATCTATGCCCTTTTGAGCTCTGCTGCTTGCTAATATAGACATATCCCCTTCTGAAATTGTAACTAAGAGAAAGCACACCAGGGCAGGGACAACTGCAGGCTGCCATGGTATTCATTTTATTTAGATAGCAGTTGGTATTCTGGAAAATTTCTTCTCTCTTGATGAGAAAAAGGAATCCAGGTACTTCTCTTCTTTAAAGAGCTTGAGTATTGCGTGGTTTACTGTATATTGGATTAGAAGGGGGTGTTGTAGTGGTCTGCTAAGACTACACTGAACCAAATCTCAACTCATTGTCAGTATTCCTAGGCTAAGATTATAGTAGTTCATAAACTGTGCACTTCTAATTAATTAATTGCCTTTCTATGCTCAGAGAGACTTAGGCAAAGATTAAGGTAAATGTGAGCTTGTTTGACTTTGTGGTGGTGTTGTTATGGGTTTTTTTTTCCTGTTGTTTCTATGTAACAAAGTCAGTGCCTGAAAGTCAAGGTTGCTTTAATTGGCTTTTCTATTTTTCCCAGCCACTCTCCTTGTATCTGTTTTATGCACAGACTTCTCTAAGGCCATTTGCATACCCAAATGCTGATTAGCACTTGCCATTGCAGTGATTGCCTCTGCACTATAAACAGATGAAGGTACATGGTAATATTTGGTATCTTGGATTTCTCCTCCCGGCGTGCCCAGACACCCCCTATGAAGTCCATGGAGTGCTGGCTGTGGTGATATGTTATTTTCTGGGGCTTCAGCATTCCCTAGCAGATGTTTCCGCCTTCCTTCATTGCACCTGAATGTATAAAACTCAAAAAAAATGCAGATGGAAAACAGTTTATCATTAAAACTACTGTTTATTGTTACAGCTGATATCATATTTGTTGTTTCGAGAGTGATCTCCAGGTGCAGATCCTATTTCGTGTAAGGACAAGAATTATGTTGCTTTCTTCATTAGGGATTTTAAGTCTTCATATTTTCTTTTGACTCTCTCTAGCCCTCTCTTTTCTCCAATTATAAAGAAAACTGCTGATTTCAGGTGGTTTTCTCCTATTGTTTGGGTTTTCTCTCTTGTTGTTTGTCAGCAACAAGATGGAATTAAATCAGAGGTGTGTGTGTGGTGAGGATCTGACTGACTTAGGGAGGGTGACGGGGAGATTGGGAAGGACAGGGATGAGCCTGCTTGGACTCATCCATGTCTTTGCTCCTGTTCTCTGGCATGGAAGCAATAGAGTCTGGATCCACTTTTGAGCAGCTGGAGGAGAAGGAGCCAACGACCAAGGCTGGGCAGGGTTGTTTCTGTGAGAGTGCAGCTTTCGAGGATATTTTGAACAGATGGTTCCCAGTCTGGCTGTAAGAGCTGGTGTGTCAGCCAGGCTGAGCTGCCTCGGGGACAGCCCCACGCCAGGCTCTCACAGGTCACCTCCCAACACCCACTGGGGCAGAAATGGAGCTTCTTGTGGTGTCCCTGTTTCATCCTCCCTGTGTTTGCACTCAGGGAGGTGGGGAAAGGTGACCCCTGTGTACCTGCCATGATATTTATCCTCAGAACAGCACCCAGTGGCCTTTGCATTGCTCTGTGAGTGCTCTTGGTCCTTAGTCTGGACCTCACCTTGCTGCTGGTGTCACC